TTTGTTACCAACATCTGGTGAAAATTTCATGTCATTAGCACCTCTAGTAATATATTTACTGAGAAAAATGATGACGTGTTGAATACTTATTTTACCCGCTGTATATACAGTATTTGGATTTTTGCACAGTAATGATCATTACAGACAATGCCACCCACCWGTGCTGACGCCTTTGTGTCACACTGCATCAGTTAATTATTCAGGATAAGGCATTTCTTTAACCTGTTCTGCTGCACTGTTCATGCTTCAATGAGCCATGTTCAAAGAAACATTTCAGGACACAAACTCAAGTAGTTTCATAACCASCTGACTCTAATTAACTCAAACAAATGACTCACTGTAATGCAAAGTAAACATCTCTGCAGTGAGAAATGTGCTATTGGATTCAATTACAGGGAAACTGACACATGCATGCAAAACGTGCACATGAACCCTAAAACATGCATCTCATTTGTTTCACTTTCTTCTCTCCAGTTCATTTAGTACCAAGTTCACAGAGCTTCACAGCTGCTGCACAGTGCCATCGTGGTTGTGGTCCAACGTTTTTTTTTAACAGTGAGGAGCCATTATCCAACATGTACTTTAAGCCATGTTAACAGCCATTACTACATGGAAAAACATGGTGTCATCTCAGGATTACAGGCTGCCATGCTTTCCCGTGTGACATCAAGTCTGTAATTTTAACTACACACACTCAATGAAATCACATCCATGCAGAGCAATAAAGTCCTGTTACACATAAACTTTTATTGGGGGGGGAGAAAACAGCAAACATAGAACACATTGTAGTATAACTCAGTATGTGACCAATGGCTTCAGAGAATCCTGCACCAATTATTATGAATAATTTAAAATGAACCAAATAAAACATTAAAGYATCTCTTGACTAATGTAATGGTTTCTGTTTTAGTTTTTTTTTGTCCCTGCAACTAAGACCAATGCGATGCACAGTGTAAAATTTTTAAAAGCTTACAAATTAAGTTTTAATAAAAAGATCTGCACCAAACCCAGCGTCCTGAAAGGTGCCGCCCGACACAAACACACAGCAGCCTCATAAATTAAAACTTTGTTGCTTTCAAGTTGTGCTGAAAGAACCAACTCTTTAATTTGCATCACTGCAGCTCATCATGGACTCTGTTTGCTCAATTTAAGGTTTAACATAAGAGTCAATTTATTAACATGAAACACGATCAAACCCAGAGCTCTGTTCACACACTCACCTCTCTGCTCGATGTGGAGTTGCACCGAAGTTCTCACGCTCCCCACTCCGTTGACCGCCTGACACTCGTACAGACCCTCGTCGTGCGCCGCCACCCGAGTGATGCGGAACGTACCGGAGGACGTGATCACGTGGCGACGGTCGGACGGAAGCGAAGTACCCCCTCGAGTCCAGACGATCACGGGCTCTGGGTTACCGCTTGCCTCGCAGGGGAAATCCACACTGTGACCCTCCAGGACTGACTGGTCCTGTGGCGTGGTGGTAAACTGGGGGAACGCTGGATAGGGAAAAGAAGGCGTGGGTACCGACTATAAAATACGGACAACAGCCTTTACAGCCTATTTGTTAATACAAGGTTTCCTCTACGAATTCTTACCCATTACATAATATCAAACCTAAATGATTTAATTTATGTATCCTTAAATAAAACCAAACCCACCTTGTACRATGATGTGAGCTGTAGCATGTATCGTGTCCACATTGTTGGAGGCAAAACACGTATATTGTCCTGCATCAGCCTGGACYACGTTCTGGATGTAAAGCCCTCCGGAGGGGGTGATGTTGATGCGAGCATCGCTTGGCAGTGGGGTGCGGTCGGCCTTCGTCCAGGTGACTCTCGGCTGTGGCTGGCCGGTGGCGCTGCACTCCAGGGTCACGCTCTCCCCGACAAGGACCTCTGTGTTCTGGGGTTGGATCACAAAACTAGGCCGCGCTGCCGGTGAAGAGGAAGAAGTGAAAGAATAACTTCACCGCGTCAGTAAACGAACATGGAACGGTAAATTCACGTAGTCTTTGTGCAAGGGTTTCCTGTTTGTCAAAAGATATTGTAGGATTCCGTGACGTAGATGGTAGAATGTCCAAAAATACTATTTATTAGATGTTTTTACCATTTTTAACTTTTAACAATTTAGAAACCCAAAATGTATCCATGATATAAGCTTAATATGGAGTTGTTTTGTGTAGAGATCTATTTTCCTTCATTGTAATACATTTTTTGTTATTTGTGTTTAAATTGTGCTCAGATTTCAAATGAAGAACCCCTAATCCTAACCCCAATTTACATTTCAGCCAAAACTGTGAMGCTTACACTGTGGAATGTGTTATTACTGTGGGATCTGGAAATATGTACACAGCGAAGGACCTGAGGTTTACCATTACACACAGACAGGAAATGCACAACATCTGCTTTCAGAAACTGCCGATGACCCTGGTGTCATCTGTGAAATGGTCATGACATTTTCCCACAAGATTCAAAYACCATATTTTTATCCGAATCTACAAAGAAGAAAGAAAAAAAGGAGGTGTAAAGTRGCCACTTACATGGGGCTCCAAAATATCGCAGCGTGACCTCGGTGGTCTTGACTTCTCCAGCCACATTTTTGGCCATGCATTGGTACACACCCTGGTCTGTCTCTCTGGTGTCCTGAATCATCAGAGTCCCATCTTCCAGCAGGTTCAGACGACTGTCATCGCGCATATTTAAAGCATTGCTGCAAGAATAGCACATACACCCACCCAAGGATTAATGTTCAGTTTTCTCTTTTACAAGAACTACATCCAGTCTTTGGTGTCTTACTTGTTCCTGAGCCAGATAATCTGTGGTTTTGGGTTGCCCTCTGCCCTACAGGTGAAGTAGACAGTGTTTCCTGATGTAACATCAACATCCTGGGGCTGTGAGGTGATCCTCGGCACCTCTATAGGCACAAGATTAGACAATAATAAATAAATAATTATCAATGTTAGAATGAGCATGGATGTTTTACCAATGGATAAAGAAAAACTTCATGATGGACTCATGTTTGTGCACTCCTAGTGGTCTCAAATTATTTTTAGATGAGTGAGGCTTTTTCCTGAAACACTTCAAAATGAACCATCCTTATTTTTGTAATTGTCCCACTGTGATCTTTAACATTTAACTGCCTAACTGAGTCTTGTAGTAGTCATATGTAATATAAGTTTTGGAAAATGGCAACTCAAGATACAGTTGAACCTTACTTTATGTAATAATTCCACTTTGAACCCAGACAGTGTGTTTTCTAAAGAACCAGGGTCAGTACAGAGGCTGTTGCAATCAACCTTCTTCTGAATCCGTCTAACTTTTTTACGAATGTTGGTAGGGTGAAATTGTAGAGGACTCAGACAGAACATGTTTCCTAAACTCAGTGGTCATCTAGTTTAATAGGCACTGCCTATTTTTGCGGGTAAGTGTGTCAATTCTAAAATAAGCAAATGCAACAAACAGGAAATGATCCCATTTCCCAAAGGAGGACAAAACCTCCCACCGTCTCTGTGGATGTTGACTAAGATACATTTCAGACGCCCCTCAACCAAACCAGTCTCTGACCACTGCTTTTAAAGAACAGTCCAGTAAAACAATCCAAAGTCATTTACAGTGAGTCCCATCAGGTTTTCTTTCAACAAAGTCACATCTTAAAAAAATCTAACTAACCCACCTATGAGAAGACAAGCTTGGCTAATCAGACCCCACTTGTACAGAGAGAAAGGCTGTTTTGAAAGCAGCCCATGTTATGTTACATAGATCTATACTACTTACAGAGACTTAAGTGGGGGCAAGAAGGGGGGCAGAGGACAGACAGCTGGAGGTGTAGAATGGATTTCACAGCATCTAAAAGGAGACATTTTACACCTGGTGTCCTCTGTGCAGACTGATGGAGGGAAAGGGGGTTACTCTAGGCAGGATTGGACATGTTACAGGCATCAAATTAGCTGCTTGGATTAAGCTGTGGTTGAGTTTCAGCTGCCTGGCTTCATGTGCAGGACTCAGCGGAGGTTGAAGAAAACACAACATTAAACTGGATTTGGTAAGATAAAAGACTTGTAGCCAGTTTTGAAGCCACATGACCGAAACAAGACACACAGGTACGCAGCGCAATTTGTTCTTACTTTTTACTAGCATAGCTGAAAAATATGAACACATTTTATTTTGTACATTGGCGTGATTTTCTTGAGATTGCAAAACTTACAAATTTTCCTAATGACTTTTTATAAAATCAAAAGTTCTGATCCTATACTAATAAAAGTTAATAGTAGTTGTTGTTGGTATTAATAGGGGAAGTAAAAGAGGAGCTGAAACAGGTGGCGAACAATGAAGAGGGGCCCCGAATCAAATTCAGCCTAAAGCGCCTGTAAAACTTTAACCTGTCTCTGGTTGTCTGGATGACTTCATGGCTTCCCAGATGTGCATATGTTCCATTTGGTTTCAAAAGTTAAACAAATGTAAAACCAGTTGGAGTTAATTAGGATACCAGATGATGGTGTCAATGTAGCAGCATGTTGTAAAGGGATGATGAAATGCATTAATATCCTAATAKTCACAAAAGCTGGTGTGCAGAAGGTAATACTAAGACAATGAACGGCTGAAATGAAAATTGTTATTTAAGACACCTCACATTAAATGAGCATTTTCTCTCTCTTCGTACCACAGTTGAGCTCCTGAGCAGTAAGTGTGGCCACCGATCGACCCTGCAGGCGGCTGGGATGGTCGCAGGTGGCTGCAGCCTGGGCATTTCCTGACTCGGCGTACTGCTTCAGCAGATCCGCCAGCCACAGCAGCTCACAGTCACAGTTTAATGAGTTCGAGTCCAGTCGCCTGCGCACAYAGACGCAAAACAAGAGCAACTGAAAATACAGCAAAAAAAAAAAAAAAAACCCTAGTCATTGTACAGTCAGGTGTATGATCAACCAGATGCACCAAACAAGTGCTGCTGAGCTGGATTTTTCTTGTAGTCATTAACTAAAAAAATAAAAAGAGCCGAGACAGAAGCTTAAAACTGAGAACTGATTTAAAAAAAAAAGACCAACATGGAAATGAGGCCAAGCAATTTAGAYAAAATGAAAGAACTGCAGTGCAAAAAAAATGGCAAAATGTGCTGAAGCAGAAGACAGTTTGTCCACTGAAGGATTAGAGAGTGACAAGTGTCTTCGGATGACTGTAACACATGATGGAGGCTCCTAGCCAGTTTGAAACTTTGATTTTTCAAACAGAGTCAGGGATTAGGTCAGGATCAATGGTATACAGAAAGTCATTTGTGGCTCAGATCACTTTCATGTGTCCTGAATGATCGGATCTCAGTGAATCCCRGATGCACACAGTCCTCCCTTCACGAGAAGGCTACTCTTGATTCACTTTTCTGTGTATAAAGCCTCGTTTTGCACACTTCCGTCTGACAGTTCCTGAGCTACAATGTCTCTGGCACTGTCCAACCCAGCCCAGCTCAGTGCAAACAGTGGGGCCCACCAGGACCATACTGCTGTGGGAAACTGTCTCCCAGGTTGGCCTCTTCTTCTGGTATCTGGTCAAACTTTCAGCTCCATCAGTTCATCACAGATTAGAGAGGTTTTTCCACAATAAGCCTATTTCTTTCAGAAAGCCAGTTGTTCTAAATATAATTTGAAGGTCGTGCTTTGTCTTTTAAGGCCTAGAAGTGTTTACATACAATCCTGTGCTTTTAAAAGTCAAATTTAGAGCAAAATCGGTAATAATTCAGTAAACACTAAATAGCTAGCCTTAAATCCACTACAGTTCTCACAGTGTAACATCACTGATAAAGCAGGCTTCAACTGAGACTGACCAGCTCGTAGGTTAACTTCAGAAGTTGACACAAGACATACAATCTCAAACACATATTTCAACGTTTTTCTTTTTACTTACAGTCGCTTCATAGACTGAAGGTCAGAGAAAGTTCCTGGAACAAGCTGAGTAATTCTGTTGTTGTGCAAAAACCTGAGCAAAACAACACAAAAGGAATGCTTAATAGTTTTGAAATAATAAAGAATGTTATTTTGAAGCAAAGCTGCACAATATTTAAAAGAATGCACGGCATTAAAAAAAAACATTTAATTTATTTTCAGAACAAGATGAGTAACAAGATCATTTTGACCATATACAGTATGCTAGCTGGACAACATGGAAGACATCCAAATATTAACTTTGCAAATAACTTTCCCTTTAGAAATACGATCTACAGATTTTTCAGCTCTCAGCTTTRACTCTGTTCATGGAAATATTCCCCAACAACAATAATGTATGCGCTTGGGAATGCTTTCCCTCCCCTTTYCCCCTGTTTTCAACCGCAGGTGTTTTCACAATCACACACACACTCTCTCCATGCTGCATGTAGGGGAAACAATGAGCAGGAACTGACTCATGAAACAACAAAACAAGAATCCGATAAGAGACTGTATCTCATTAGAGAAAAACAGAGAAGAAGCAGACTAGAACAAAACACTCAAACCTGTGAGGAATTAAAGAATTAGACTGTAAAAAAAAATATATATATATATAAAAAGACAAAATGAACTCACAGTCGTTCCAACTTTGGCAGATGAGTGAAAGATTCTGGTTCCAAAGACTCAATGTTGTTGAAATGCAGGTACCTGAAAAGAGTAAATGTAGAGCAAAAATGTAGAMAAAGTGAAAACTGATTAAAAAAAATCTCACAGTCCTAGCAGTTACTGCGTTAATGGGGAGGCATTAAAACCTCTGACGTTCTCCCCATTCATCACTGCCATTACTGAGATAACAAAACACAGATGAAATAAGACCTCACGCTCCACAGATCTGGACAGATTAGAGGAATTTGCACAGCAGGCATTCATCACATGTTCATTCTAAAATGTTATGACTAGAGGCTGCTTTTAAAATGCATTTTAGTACAGGTGAAAATCAAGTTAAACAACCATCTCACGGAATGCAAACATCAGGTTCAGCGCTGATGGAGCGCCTCCACTCCCCTAAATGCTCCACATTCATTTTAAAATTTATGCTATTTCCTCAAGTTTATAYACAATTCTCTAAAATGGCAATAAAAGACACAGACTGTAAATAAATTAGAAGTAGACTGAAATACACATCTTATTTCGGAATTTAAACAGATTTTATTAGAGTTATAGATTTCTGTAACGCATTTAAAAAGAGCCTCAGTTGACCATAAAATTTTAAAAATAAAAAAAAAGATTAGTAAATCTGTATTAGGTATGAGCAAAGGAAATTTAATTGAATAGAACACAGTCAAAAACACAGTATTTAAATCAAGCTTGCACAAAAAAGCCTACTAAAACTAAAAGCCAAACAGAAGAAATGGGATTTTCAGCATGGGTTAAGGAGCAGCAGCTGTTACTTCAAATAAATGWCTTTTACACATGAGGATCTTTAGAAGTTTTGTCTTCACTGTTGTGATTGTATTTTGTAATGTCTTAGAGAAATGCCTTTGTAGAGTTCATTGATCTGGCAGGAGTGCGAGRGTGAAAAGACCAAACACGTTAAGTTGGTATCAAATTTGTACAACTCTTCAAAAMAAGAAATAAACTTTTAAAACTGACCCAGACGACCAATTTAGGAAGTTTTCCATTGGAATTGCTGAATGTATTCCAGCATCCATCTTCATKCTAATCTGACTCTCACTCCTGAAACCAAGTAGGGGTCTACGCAGTGCATATAGGGGAAGTTTCTCGTCTCTGTGGGCAGCGTTTGTCCTAAYTGTGATYAGTGGAGTTTGGAAAATAGGTGGAGGTTATTGGGTGGGTGGAGTCTGGCTAAACCATGATTGGTCAGACAGACTTGTCTTGTGGGACAAGTTAAAAGATGAAGTAATGGTAACCCTACTTATAATTTAAAACAGAAAAATGTCTTAAATAAAAAAAAATTGTGAAACACAATTAAACATAATTTATTGACTTCAAATTTGGTGCGACTAGCACCTTCCTGTCTCAAATTAGGACTGATATTAACATTCTAGGGATGCATCGATATGGAAATTTCAGCTGATATCAACATATACGCACAAACACGTGTCTTTTTTTCAATATCGTAAATAAATGACCAGACCTTTGACATGACTCTCTACTTTAGTTATTCCTGGCTATGCAGCGTAAATATCACTATCATGATCAAACAGATGCCGCTCAACCAACCATCTCCCCTCCCAAAACAGAAACACAAAACTAAAAAGTGGGAAATCAATATCGGATGTTAATATCGGCCCATTTTTACATATMGGACCGATACAGATATTCTAAAACAATGACCAATATCAGCCGATACGATGTGAATGCATATWTCGTGCATCCCTATAATATTCATATTCTTTTTCCAGGTGGATTAGGGCTGTTTTGACTGAGACATGGTCAGCGTTTAAATTTCATGTGGCTAGCACATTCCTATCTCCAATTATGACTAAAATTATTATCGAGATTTTAATAAATTGGTGCTTTCTGGCTGTTTCGACTGAGCTACACGACCCTCTGGTGTTCATTCAACTAAATTGTTGTGTCCTCTTCAATCCCCACACAAAATAGACAATCGGACCAATCATATTTTTACCAATTTACGCCCATAAAAGTCTAACGGACCAATCATGTCTTGGACAAACTCCTACCACACACCAATAAACTCCCATTTAGTGATAGCAGAGACCACCTTCTCCCTGAAACAGGTATACCCCACAGACCATTGCTGCCACCACCATGTTTGACTATAGGGATGCTATTAATGAGGAAAAGCTGTTTTTTTRCCATGCGTAATAACGGTAATTGAGACCAGAAATTCGTCTGTTAGGCTAGAAGATTTTACTCCTAGTTCCTGGAAGCCCTTCAAATGCCTAATGATAAACAGGTCTTCATGTAATTTTTATTTCAATATGGCTTTACTCGGAGCACTATGCAATAAAGATTAGTGTGTTGGAATGTAACTTTGAGGCCAAACATTCTGTAAACTTCTTTCATTTTCACAACATAACAGTTTAACAATTGGCATGATTATTGTTTGGTTGATTAAAGCAGTTCAGCAGTAAATTTTTAAGTTAAAAGGTGTTTTAGGAGATTAACTGTGAGATGCTCTACAGAGAGATGTGTGTGCTTCTCTACTGAATTTAGTTTGGGATAAGTGAACTCAAGTGTAGAAAAATCACTTTTGTTCAAAATGGGTTGCAAGATAACTAAAAGTTTGATTGTTTAATGATTCAGGATTTTATTTGGAGCAAAATTCTCCCAGAACTGCTTTTTATTTTTCTCWTTTTGAGAATTTTGTACATTTGAAAATTATCTTTTGAATAGACAACAGTTTTTTTTAACCAATTAAAGAAAAAAGAAAGCCTTATCAAGTCCACTTAAATTTTACACAATGACCTTTGAGGACCATTCAGCCATGTGTGGTCACTGATGAACCACATGCATGTTGATAAATTATCAACCAGTAATTCCAGACTTCTTTTTATTCAAATCAAAAAAAGAATAAGATTCTAGGAATCTGTTCAAGTATTTCCACTGTGATTTAAAACTGTCGCACAGATGTAAAATGCTTCCTTACTGTAGTAAAATTTAAAACATCTGCTTGGTCCAATACCAGAGGTTTAAGTAGCATTTCTTTCCATAAGTCATATAGACCCATTCCTGCATTCCAGGCTTGCAACACATTCTAAAAGACCGTGAAGGTTTAACCACTTTGAAAATGCTGCCAACACTGAAAAGATGGAGGTCAAATAACTCAGCATTTTRGGTGTTATTCTGTCCTGTTCATCTTGTTAATTTTGGGTATGAAGAAGTATTGGATCATCGTTTTATTTTTTTAAATAATTTTTTTTGTTGTTGTTCAAGTGACATTCTATCAGTTCAGTACCTCTAATAAAGGAGTGTCCAGCTCAGTTACACAAGGGGGTCAAAATTCAAAGCTTGGTCCAATTCAAGGGCCAATTTCAGTCAGTATTTATTGAAGAAACAAATTATATAAGAATTATAACAAATAATTCTTACAGAAATACAAATGACCTTTTCTAAAATGTTTGATGTAGCATTTAGAACATTTAGAACATAACCGATAAAGAAAAAAATGAGGAAATTTAGGACAACACATCTTTATTATTCATTTCTTATTAATTATTCTCCATCAACAACTATTTCATTTGTTATATTTTAGAGATACATTTTATCACATCTCAGCAAATCAGGTAAAATAAAATAGAAAATTCTCACTAAAAATCCAAATATTTGACTTTGAATAAGAA